ATTGGTTAGTCGCTTGTATCTTGTGGTTTTTTTATCTAGAAAAATATTGTGGGAATCTAAAATTAGAAGGCTTATCCGTAGAAGTTTTTGGTCCTAAATAGAATTTCACTCACTAAAATGTTACATGTAAAAATATTTGGGTATTCATGACATAACTTATATTTTACGAATCAATGGTTGTGCAGCTTCATGTAGCAGTAGTACCTGCTGAAACAGGGCTGTCTAACCGCGGTCCTCGAGGGCCTCTATCCAACATATGTTGGAGGTTTGTCCGCTTCAGCACACCTGAATTTAATCTGTGCAGTGGCGTGTCCAGATCTTTTAAATTGGGGTGGCCCAGGTGAAGAAGAAGAAGAAGAAGAAAATATCATTTCTATAGCGCCTCTCAAGATAAGTCACGAGGCGCTTCACAAAAACAAAAAAAAAAGTAAAAATATAAAAAAGCATTTAGAAAATGTTTAGAAATATATTAAAATGAGCAAGAATAAGCAAATGGGATTTAAAAGAAAAATGTTAAGAAAGAGAGAGAGTGAACAGGAAAGAGGGAAATCAGTGGATCCTGAGGAAGGTGGAATAGGTGGGGAGAGCAGAATAAAGAGAGAGAGGTGAAGAAGGTCATACAAAAGCCAGCTTGAACAAGTGAGTCTTCAGCTGCTTTTTAAAGGAGACCACTGAGTCCACTGATCTCAGGCTCAGGGGGAGAGAGGTCCAGAGTCTGGGGGCCACAGCAGCAGATGATCTGTCACCTTTGAGCCTGGTGCTGCACAACCAGTAGGCTTTGATCACTGGACCTCAGGGACCTGCTGGGGGTGTAGGGACTAAGAAGATCACCAATGTAAGATGGTGCTTGTCCATGTAAGGCCCTGTAGACCAGAACCAGGATCTTGAAATGAACCCTGAAGTTGACTGGCAGCCAGTGAAGCTGGAGGAGAAGCGGGGTGATGTGGGTGTGTTTGGAGGACTTGGTCAGAAGCCGAGCACAGGCGTTCTGAACCACCTGTAGACGGTTCAGGGAGGTTCTGCTCAGACACGTGAAAAGAGAGTTACAGTAGTCTAAGCGTGAGGAGATGAAGGTGTGGAGAACTGTCTCAAGTTCAGAGCGAGACAGAATGGGACTCAGGTGAGGCACAACTTTGTGCATGGGTGGCACCAATGGTTATGCTTTTTTGTTTCACCCCCAAGCTTTTTGTGGACAATGAAAAGCCTATTTAAAGGTAAATTGGTGTGGTGGCACCTGGGGTGGCCAATCAGGGTGGCATGTGGTACTCCAGGCCACTCCCTGGACACGCCCCTGAATCTGTGGCTAATTTACAGTCTTCTTCCCAATGTGAGGATATGCTTGATTAAACCACGGAAGCAGGTGTGTTGAAGCAGGTGAGCAACTAAAACATGCTGGATGGGGCCACCGGAAGATAACATGTGGAGGAAAGATGGTGGCACGTCATCGGCTCTTTTTGTTGCATCAACAGAAACATGTTCCCAGAGAATTTGGTGCAGGCTTGTTTTCAGCAGGTAAGGCTCTTGACGATTTCAGCAAACCTCCATCTTTGTCGGGTCCTGCGTGAACAGAAGATGTTTTATTGAGTCGAATTTCGTTCCAGTATAAAACTAAAAGGAAAGAGTTGGAGCCAATGAAGGTTTCGGTCAACACCACCACTATTCCACCACTTACGACTGCTATCATGGCAGCAGTGGAGGTACGTGTCATAAAGACTTTATTTGTCCTTTTAACCCATTGTTGTCCGATGGGAGCACACAGAACAAGGATTGATCTTCACAGAGTTTCCTTTTGGTTTCGTGAATGTTTTATGTTTCCACTTGTGACCACCGATCCACTAACGAGTGCTCCACTGGGTTCTTAGATGTGGCTGAGTCAGCTTCCTGTTACGGTGTGGTGAACTGAACCTTTCTCCCCTCTCTTTTCAGAACATCACCAAGGACTATAAAATCATTGGCTCATACTCAGATGGAATCAACGTTCTGGGCTTGATTGTGTTCTGTGTGGCGTTTGGCCTTGTCATTGGGAAGATGGGAGCGAAGGGGCGGATCCTCCTGGAATTTTTTGATGCCTTGAATGAAGCCACCATGAAACTTGTTCAAATCATCATGTGGTATGTATAGAAAAAAAAACAAGGTTTAAAGGTCTCAGACCTCTGGGTCATTCCCGTCAGGTGATGGGATGTTGAGTTTTTCATTGAACCATCCAGTTTGAAAGTATCTTCCACCATTTTTAGGTCTTAGAGAATTCTAATTCTATTTTCTTCGGGCCCTAGATTATACTTCTGTTTAACCCTCTGGAGGCAGGCGTTGCAGTGTTAAAACCCGCCTTCCTGGTTACTCCACAGACGTATTTCATGAGCATTTGTACACTCAGACGTACCCCTGAAGGACTTAGTTGTACGTCCTTTTATCAAAACTTATTTTGAGCCTGAGAGCATTAAGTCAAGGTGGGTAACACGATGATATTCGATTGCAGAGGATTTGAAAGTTTGAGGATCTTCTAAATCAGAGAGTTTAGAGAAATGTCTTTAAAGTTAAAGTTAAAGTCCCATTAGTTGTCACACACACAGGTGTGTGTGCGAAATCTGTTCTCCGCATTTGACCCATCCCCCAGGGGAGCGGTGAGCTGCAGACACAGCCGCGCTTGGGAACTATTTGGTGGTTTAAACCCCCCAATCCAACCCCTTAATGCCGAGTGTCAAGCAGGGAGGCATTGGGTCCAATTTTTTCAAAGACTTTGGTATGACCCAACCAGGAATCGAACCACTGATCTCCCAGACTCAGGGCGGACACTCTACCACTAGGCCACTGAGAAAGGTTTAGGACACATTCTAGGACTGAGGTCAGAGCAAGTCTAAAGGTTTCTACCTGAACTACTTTAGATCACTGCTTTGTGTCCATAAAAGAAAAGGTAACAATAAAGTTGTGTCAACAGTGATACACACCATATGTGTGTTTAGTGTGAGCTGTGGGGGTTTATTAGCATTTGCCCTTATCACCCTGTAACCGGTGGGTTGCTGGTTCAAACCCAAGTTTGTCTCGATGGCAGAAATTGAATGGCCGATTTCTTGTATGAGATGAAGCACACTCTCAGGGGCAGGGCTTGCTCCTAACCCTAACCCTAACCCTAATCTTCAATTTGAATCATAGCCAGAACTACTAAACATTCCAATCTCCTTTACACTTCTCTTCACTCTCCCATTCCTTCCCCTTAAATCGGGAGGGGGTATGGGGGAGCCAGGTTAAGCCTAGTCCGGCTCAGTTGTGGTTAAGACGTAAACACGTTGCCACCTCTGCTACCTGGTCTCTATACTCTCTCTCTCTCTCTCTCTCTCTCTCTCTCTCTCTCTCTCTCTCTCTTCCTTTCGCTCTCTTGCTCTCCTTCGCTCTCAATCTGGAAAACCATCAATGGAAGGGGGTTTCTGAGTGACGTGCGGCGGCCCGTGCACTGCCAGTGATTCCCTAATTAAACTGTTTCGGTCATTGGACTGACTCAGTGGGAATTCATTGAGTTATATCTACTGAACCTAACCCTAACCCAGTTTACCCGATAGGCTCTCAGATGGATTAGACAGTTTCTACAACTCAGAATCACTGAAATAGTCTGACTCAGAACGAGTCTAACAGGTTTTTTGCCAGATCAGACTTTACACTCACAAGGAACTCGTCTGCATAAGGGTGGCAAGACACATTGTCAAATGTAAATTAAAAATTATAACATGTATAAATTATCTGTCCAAGAGGGTGTATATACAGTATATATATATATATATATATATATATATATATATATATATATATATATATATATATATATATATATATATATATATGTATATATATATATATATATATATATATATATATATATATATTATATATATATTAGGGGTGTGCCGGTACGCCTGACATCCCAGTTCGGTACGTACCTTGGCTTAATGTTACGGTTCGGTACGTTTTCGGTACAGTAAAAATACTAAAAAAGCTTTTCTTTTGTGTAAACAGTAACTTCTTTATTTACATTTACTTGCATTACATTCATGTCATAACAGGGCTCAATAACATTAAGCATGTGTTTAAACCCAGCATGCTCAACAACTGAGTATAGCCTTAAATCCGCTGCAATAAAAACACCATTGGCATTTGTAATTGCTTTGTCCGAGGAGCTAGGTAACGGTTGTTTAAAGGCAGCCGGAAGCTGCGTTTGCACTACAGTTTTCTTTTTTATGGTGCTGAGGTCGACATTCTTATGGTGCCGTTTCAAATGAGTGAGCAGGTTTGACGTGCTACTAAAAGCATGTCCTATCTCCGTGGAACAGTACCGGCACACTACTTTCGTTTTATCCACACGTCTTTTCCCATCTTCATATCTCACCGGGAAGCCGTAGTGTTCCCAAACAGGACACTTTAATAACAACGGTGGACATTCGAGCTCTTGCTCACCCGGGTCGCTTGCCATAACTTCTGTGGCGCTCCACTCTGTGTTTAGTTAGCATGCTATTGGCTAATGTGCAACGCAATTAGGCATCCGAGTCGAAACTCGGTACAAAAGTGCATACCGGACCGACAGGGACGTACCGACACATTCGAATACACAGGAGCGTACCGGCCCACCCCTAATATATATATATACATATGTATATGTACATATATATGTATATATATATATACATATGTATATGTACATATATATGTATATGTATATATACATATGTATATATATATATATATATGTGTATATATATGATGACCCCACTGTGTGTCAAGTTGTGTGTTGTGTTCCACGAGTAACATCCTGTCTATACCCACTTCTAGCATAATGACACAAGTACTACACTGCTGTGCATCCTGTAGTAGTATTATTATTATTAGTAGTAGTAGTAGTAGTAGTAGTAGTAGTAGTAAAGTGGCAGTAGTAACCGGTGTGTTGACTATCTCTTCAGAGCTACTGCTTCTTCTGAGGATCAGTGTTCTGCTCACACTTTGCTTCTGTGCTATAACTAAACACAACACAATGAACATTTTAACTGAGTCCTACTCAGATGTAAACATAGCTGTAATAAAGCTAGATATTTAGTAAGAAACAATCATTTAGTCTTAAACAAGTGTAAATATTATTTGAGCCTGTAAAGTAGCTGATGTGTTTTCTGTGCTTCTCCAGTTACATGCCAGTTGGTATCCTGTTCCTAATTGCTGCAAAGATCATCGAGGTGGAGGACTGGGAGATCTTCAGGAAGATGGGTCTTTATATGGTCACTGTGCTGAGTGGGTGAGCTGCCACTTTCTCTGTATCCTCCTGTTCCAAGCTGGGATTTATAGCTGGCATTTGGGCCAACTCTACCTCCAGTGATACAGTAAAAGCTTAGCTTTACTGGGGCTGATAAGGGCCAAGGGCAGTTAAAACTGCTCAACCTGCACATATAATAACGAAAGCTTTCCTCGTGCTTTTAAATCTCAGTGGCATCATTAAAAACGTCCTCTCTGGTAAGGTCAAAGGTTTCAAACACATCCTGAAAATGTTCCTAATGCGCAACATCCAGACAATGTAAACCCTTCAAAGTTTAAAGGGACATTTTTAGAATCAACCTACTTCTAACTGCAACAACGTCAGCTGATATTTAAACCATTAAGATCCTGATCAGACATTAACCATGAAAATCCAGTGTAGCTCCTCATCAAACCACTGACATTCCTCTGGGAATGAGCAAGGATTCTAATCCTCCGAGTTCTTCCAAACCTCCGTTCAATAAAACGCATCGGAAACAGGACTCATTGCTTGATAATAACAATCAGTTCTTTTGTGAAGGGTACCACATGCATTAGTTTTAATTTGTGTGTCTGTACAGTTTGTAGACTTTACAGAATCACATTTGTAGCGTCCAGAAATGGTCAGTTTTTCATCTACAGTTTGACCTCTTCAGTATCCGGTCATAGGGAGACACAAGACTACATCTGGGGCCTTTAATCTGCTGCATTCTGCTATTCTATCAGCTGAAGCCCAGGCCTCTGCAGCTTTGAACACAGGATAACATATTGTCAGCAAAACTGTTCCCGTTTCAAGGCCTTAAGCTTTCTCTTATCGCTTCTACAGGATTCCTCCTGCCTCTGAATAAAAATGAACATTTTCAGCTCATGTGAGTTAATTAATCATAGAATGAATGGATAAGGTCTATTCAGGGGTTCTGGAGAGGAGGGTCCGTCGGATTGTTGAACGTCAGATTCAGGAGGAGCAATGTGGTTTTGGTCCTGGCCGTGGAACACTGGACCAGCTCTATACCCTTAGGGGGATCCTGGAGGGTGCGTGGGAATTTGCCCAACCAGTCTACATGTGTTTTGTGGATTTGGAGAAGGCGTTTGACCGCGTCCCTCGGGGGGCCCTGTGGGGGGTACTCCGGGAGTATGGGGTACCAGGCCCTCTGATACAGGCTGTTAGGTCCCGTATGACCGGTGTCAGAGCTTGGTCCGCATTGCCGGCAGTAAGTCGGGCTCGTTCCCAGTGAGAGTTGGACTCCGCCAAGGCTGCCCTTTGTCACCGATTCTGTTCAGAACCTTTATGGACAGGATTTCTAGGTGCAGCCAAGGTGTGGAGGGCATCCATTTTGGTGGCCTGAGGATCAGGTCTCTGCTTTTTGCAGATGATGTGGTCCTGTTGGCTTCATCAGAACGTGATCTTCACCATTCACTGGAGCAGTTCACAGCTGAGTGTGAAGCAGCTGGGATGAGAATCAGCTCCTCTAAATCTGAGGCCATGGTCTTGATTCGGAAAAGGGTAGAATGCCTTCTCCGGGTCAGGGATGAGGTCCTGCCCCAAGTGGAGGAGTTTAAGTATCTCAGGGTCTTGTTCACGAGTGAGGGAAAACTGGAGCGTGAGATCTATAGGCGGATTGGTGCTACATCTGCAGTGATGCGGGCGTTGTACCGGTCTGTCGTGGTGAAGAGAGAGCTGAGTCAGAAGGCGAAGCTCTCGATTTACCGGTCGATCTACGTTCCTACCCTCACCTATGGTCATGAGCTTTGGGTTGTGACCGAAAGAACGAGATTGCGGATACAAGCGGCCAAAATGAGTTTTCTCCGTAGAGTGGCTGAGCTCTCCCTTAGAGATAGGGTGAGAAGCTCAGTCATCCGGGAGGGGCTCAGAGTAGATCCGCTGCTCCTCCACATTGAGAGGAGTCAGTTGAGGTGGCTCGGGCATCTGGTCAGGATGCCTCCTGGACGCCTCCCTGGTGAGGTTTTCCGGGAACATCCAACCGGGAGGAGACCTAAAGGAAGACCCAGGACACGGTGGAGGGACTATGTCTCTCACCTGGTCAGGGAACGCCTTGGGATTCCCCCGGAGGAGCTGGCCCAAGTGGCTGGGGAGAGGGAAGTCTGGGCCTCTCACCTTAGGCTGCTGCCCCCGCGACCCGACTCCGGATAAGCGGATGAAAATGGATGGATGTATAATGAATGGACAATAGAAATGTTTTGATTAATCTGTGCCTAAGTTAATAAGGTTGAAATGAATATTGTCCTGCAATGATCCATTTGTCTGATAATCAGTCTACGTGACAAGCTAATCAGACCAACACTCATACACAAGGTTAAAGTAATTTCTTATCCTCAAATCAGAGAACCATCTATCTGAAAGAAGGACTGATGTTCTGAGGGTTGTTTGTTAACACCTCTTAACATGGCACCTCCCGATTGGCCAGGTAATCATAATATGAGAATTATTAAAACAGAATCATTTCCCGAGTGATTCAGTTAGTTTTTGAGCAGAACTCCGGACTGGCCACCGGAGGAAAACTCTCTAACTCCCGCATCTCTTGACAAGCTGTCAAAACCTGTTGCACCCTGCAGCGACACAGAAACTCGCTCCTTCAGAACAAAGCTGACACAGCCAAGACTCCTTCAGAGTCCATCCATCTTATGGGCCATTCCCATCTGTACCGGGTCGGCCCGGGCCGGGTAGCGTAGGTTGTTTACATATCTGGGTGGCCTGGTATTTTTCCGGGCCAACCAAGGCTCATTCTCAGCCCTCTTCTCGAGGGGGTCTGCTTCAGGCCGACCAGGGCCAACACACCTACTGCTGACAGCAAATTCACACCTTCCATTAGAGCAAGCCTCTGATTGGTGGGTAGAATCAGCCCACATGGGCTTAAGACAAGGATGTGTGGAATCAACCGGGCCAGGCTGGGGCCGACTGGGGCTACCCGGCCCGGGCCGACCCGGTACAGATGGGAATGGCCCATTAGACGCAACCAACCTTCACGCTGTTGTGACCTGGGAACAACTAGAGACCGGTCTAGTGGTACTGCGGTTGATCCTGAGGACTTCGGTACCTGGGGGTCTACACAGATTCCCGACACTCCGGATCTACCACGGGGGTTCCCATCTGGGTACGTAGGCACGACAAGATTGTGTCTGATGCCGTTTTGATAAATCAATTCTTCAGCTTATAACATCCACAAATTCTTTCACACTCAGAACGCACGGTTTCTTCTAGATATAAGGTTCTGATAAACATCACACATCACACTCCACCCACTTAAATTCATCCATCACATTCGTCTTATTTATAACTTGTCTTGTTTTTTTGTTTAGAAAATAAATTTCTTACTTTTTATAGACTTAACTGTCTGAATTAATACGAAGTGTGTTTATGATCACTGAAAAAGCAAAGAATCCTAATTCTTCTGATTAAACATTCAAAGACCAATCAGGTTGATATCCTATATTTATATAGAATGTAAAGAGACCTTGAGGCCATATCTCATGCAGACTAGTTCTGCATCAGAGGAGAGGGGGAAAATGACTTTTGGTGGAAAACAGTCATTTCATTCCGTTACACTGTGTAATGATGCCAAAGACCTTCTGGAAGCTTCTGCAGACCAGGTTGTTTTCTGAAATCACAATTAAAACTTCCTTCAAAAATTCAGGCTTTAAATAATAAAACCAGTTAAAGAAATAAAGCATGAAACTAATGTCCTCTTTGGTGGGAGGTGTCTAAAGACTTGAACTCCTCTGGTTTCTGTTCCTCAGCCTAGCTATCCATGCTACCATCTGTCTGCCACTCATCTTCTTCATCATCGTGCGGAAGAATCCCTTTACGTTCACCCTTGGGATGGCCCAGGCCCTCGTCACAGCTCTCATGATTTCCTCCAGGTCAGGAATGTTGATGAACTTCTGAAGCCACTGCATTTAGCCGCAGGATTACGAGCTCTGTTGAGTTGAACTAGTTGTGATGATGCATTTCAGCTCTGCCACCCTGCCCGTCACCTTCCGATGTGCTGAGGAGAACAACCGAATCGACAAGAGAATCACCCGCTTTGTTCTCCCAGTGGGCGCCACCATTAACATGGATGGCACGGCGCTCTACGAGGCAGTGGCTGCCATCTTCATCGCTCAACTCAATGACTTCAATCTGGATGTGGGCCAGATTGTTACCATCAGGTAAATGTTTAGTTCGCCTTCATTGTCCACTACAACAATAACACTAACTAGAGACACATAAACCAAATTTACACAAAACATTGTAGGTTTCGGCAGCTTTTATTTTGAAAAGTGACCTTTCCATCCCAAGTTTATTTCTGTAGCACAGTTTAAGAAGGCTTGGAAATGGTCGTACCTCCTACAAGAACACCCTTCTGCCACTCAGTTTTACGCAGCAGCAGATTCCTTCAGGCGTCGTATCCGAGGGCGTGAAGCTGATGCTCCTCTCTGTCCGTGTCTGTGCCGACAGTGTGTGGTCACCCCGTCTCTCAAACCAGACCTTCTAAGATTTAATTATTTAGAAACGCTGTGTGAAGCTTCCTGTGTGTAAACCAAACTAATTATTTGTAACAATGATGAGACAAAACCCTGTGATCTGTGTAGGTCAGGGGTCACCAACGTGGTGACCACATGAGTTGTGTATGTTCTAAAAATGTCACTCGTCACTACTCTCTCTCTCTCTCTCTCTCTCTCTCTCTCTCTCTCTCTCTCTCTCTCTCTCTCTCTCTCTCTCTCACTCTCTCTCTCTCTCTCTCTCGCTCTCTCGTTTTTGTGTTGCTATTCTTTTTGAATCACAGTTGCATTTGTGTTCATTTTTAAAGTAAATCTAATGAAAATACTAATTTGTATTCATTGTGATTAGATGCAGTGTGTCAACATAGAATTATCACTATTATATAATTAAAGGGGCATTATGGAAGTGTGACAGCCAAAACATGTATAGAAATAATAAATGTCTTCTTCATACGTTCTCCTGCAGTGCCCTGGTCCTGTAGAATGAGCCCTGGCATTTTTACTGTGATTGCCTGTTTTTCTGTAAAATCACAGAAAAAGAGAGATGCTCGGGTCGAGCAGGCTGCTTCATGCGCGTTCACGCTCAGGCATCGCCCGTAGCATTTGCTATCCGTAGCTTTAGCAGCAGAGAGAGAGGCAGTGCCACTTTGTCGCTGTTCCTAACGCCTAGTGACAAAGCTAGCTACATTTCTGAGGACCCTTAGCTACTTTCTGTAGAACTTTCTTCTAGATATTTCCTGCTAATTAGCAACAATTCCATGTTGTCGTTCTTTTTTAAAACACAGAAACGGTTTTGTTACCTGTTGTTGACGCTACGTTTCGCCGACGGCTTCCGGCTTCTTCAGGCTGACGCTGATGGTGGCGCGTCACTTCCTTCTCCGTTTATCTGCGGGCAGCAGAGGATGTTGCCGCCCTCTACTTCCCGCTCTCCCCTCTCCGACAATGCAGTCCCATGCGTGGTCCAGCGTGTAAACTCCGTCGTCCCTGTTCATGGTCCCACATCCACGGATCATAACCACTGAACAACAAAAATACAAAAGATGGATCAAGGAAGCAATCGAGATCCCTGCTCTGTGATCCTCTGGTAATTTGATGTACTGATATGGTAGGCTGTATACTGGTGCAGCACAAAGGTTGCAGGTGCAAATCCCAGCTTCAGGATGTGTGCAGTTAGGATGTCATCCCCCCATGCATGCGTGGGTTTCCACCAGGTACTCCAGTTTCCTCCCACAGACCCAAAACATGTTTGGTTAACTGGAGATTCCACACGGTCCCTAGCTGTGAGAGAGTGAGTGAGTGAGTGAGTGAGTGAGTGAGTGAGTCAACCCTACAGCTGGGTTCTGTGGAGCACGTTGGCGGGACGAGCTTCTTTGGCTCACCTGTGTTTCAGGTGTATAGAAATCACCAGAATGTCTTGAACGAGAACAGGAACACACGAGGCCGGACCTCTCTAAGCCACTCTGTATTCCAGGCTCATGGTTTTGTGTTTTCATTGGTCTCCTCTGACAGTTTGTTTACTGGCGTATGAAATTAATTACACATCCTGTCCCTTTATTTATTTGCTCTAAGGAGCAGACTTGAACTTGTTTTCATACCAGAAATAACGCTCGTTTTACGTTTTCCTTCCCGTCTCTCTTTAGTATAACAGCAACAGTAGCCAGCATCGGAGCAGCGGGAGTCCCTAATGCTGGACTTGTTACCATGGTGATAGTCTTGACAGCTGTTGGACTGCCTGCAAGCGACGTCACCCTGATAGTTGCTGTTGATTGGCTGCTGTAAGTATAATTTTTTAAGCCTTTAGGTGATTTTTTTCATTGGAAGGATGGATTCAAACATGAAGCCACGCTGTAGATTAGCTGTTGGTGGTGTGTTTCAGGGATCGGTTTCGCACCATGATCAATGTTCTGGGCGACGCTTACGGCGCTGGGATCGTTCAGAAGCTATCCAAGAGGGAGCTGGAGAGAATGGATCTCATATCAGACGTGGATGTTGCCAACCCGTTTGCTTTGGAAGCCACTTTGGACGACGAGGAGTGTGAGAAAAAATCCTACGTGAACGGAGGCTTCGCTGTTGATAAGACCGATGCAATCTCCTTCACAGAAACGTCCCAGTTTTAGCTGCTGGGTCGCTCTGAGGAGGGTAGAGGGCCTCTCATCAGTTATCAGCACCATGGGAGACGAATCCAGCCCATCAGCCCAAACATCAGCAACAGGGGCCTTCACAGAGCTTTGATGAACATAATTATGCCTCATTTTGGACGTTTCTGACAACCACTACATTCAAGTGCTTCCTTATGACACTGACGATGTGCCAAGATAAAAAAAAGCCTGTTTTCCTTTTGTTCAATCTTTCTTGCAAAAAGGACTTTTCAGTGTGTGTGTGTGTGTGTGTGTGTGTGTGTGTGTGTGTACTTTGCATATATATATTGGCTAACACTGATGAAAATTCCACCATTGCTTAAGTAGAGATCAATAGTCAAATCTCCCATCAAGCATTGCTTGTTTTAATAATAATAATGTATGTCTCTATCTGAAATGTGCCAAAACATATAAACAAAGACTTTTTCTCACAAAGTTGCATGAGGTGACATGTAGAGGGAACGATGATAGCGGGATTCAGACAAAGTTTTTGGGAGGAAGACTGACGGCTGATGAACACTGTGAAGTTTAAGAACATTTAGCATTTATCCATTTATGAAAACAATTACCGTAATTTTCGGACTATAGAGCGCACCTCAATATAAGCCGCACCTACTAAGTTTTTAAAAACACATGGAACTGTACTTATGGAAGCCGCACCGGGCTAAAAGCCGCAGGTATCCACCGGATATCTGCTGAAATGGAAACGTAGTTTCACTGAACGTAACTGAACTGATCAGTATCAAACAAAACAGGAAAGTTATTGATTAGTTTATTCATCATCCTCCTGCGCAGGGGCGGATTAAGGACTGAAGAAGATCCGGGGCTTAACACACACACACGCACGCGCGCGCACACGCACACACACACACGTGACACGCACTAGTCAACATCATATATATTTGTCTTGTACCACACAATTTTTAATCTGAAGCTACATATTAAGCATATTCAGGGCAGAGTATTGTTCCTGTTAGTGTTTAGTGTGAGATGATAGTAAATATTCCCGTTCTTTCTCCAACAACTTTACCTGATAGTAAGCTAACTTTAGGCAAACCAGCAACACAACAAATATTTTCTAATAAGACTCACAAACCTGAGTCAACACCAGTCTCATCAAAGCTGGGGTTCTGTCGTTGTACTTTTGGTCTAAAAACGTCCTTATGTCCATCTTCACTCATGCGTTTCAGACAGAGACTGTAGAAGAAGCAGGCTGCTGAAGGCCTTCTTCTTCAGTGGTGGAGGCTCAGGCAGGCTGTATACAAACTACTGCCAGCTGCTCCCTCTCTGTTGGACTTTGGTACTGCATGTTACTTCCGCGATTTAGATCCGGGGCTTTTCATAAAACATTCAGGGCTTGAGCCCAAGTAGCCGGGCCTAACGCCGCCCCTGCTGCTGCACACTAAAGCCATTAAAGTCCTCTTCTTCAGTGTCAGAGTTGAACAGCCTCAGAAGAGCTTCGTCACATACCTTTTCTGTGGCGATGTCAGTGTCGCTCTCCGTGTTGCTGTCGTCATCCCCGGGTGAAGCTGGCTTGAATGAGTTCTTCCCGCTGCCGTCTCCAGCGCCGAACCATGGATTCATTCATGCCAAGCGTACGTGCGTCAGCGCTGTTTCCCTCCTTTACTGCCAGATCGATGGCCTTCAACTTAAATGCGGCATCATATGAACTCATACGTGTAGTTACCATGATGAGGGGGTATGGATCATGCGGGCTGCTTGCATGTGCTAAATTAAAATGAGCACTTTCTTCGATTTCCACTTTTGACTTCCACCTGTTTCACTTTCTGCTAAAGCGCCCCCTGCAGGTGAAGGAAAACCTTCAGTAAAGCTGCACCTCATTATAAGTTGCATGGTTCAAATTTTGGGGAGCTTTTTCTCTGGAACCGCGCTGCTCTGGGTGGCTGCATGTTGGAGTAGCTCTGTTGCCTTTTCTTGGGCATTTTTTCTTCTAGTTTCTCAAGAAAAACTGTATTTTTCGGACACTTTACTTTTCTGTTTCTGGTGCTGTGAAGCTCGGAGGATTTTTACTGCTATTTTTTAGCTTTTTTCACTTTTTGAGCATTTGTTATGATGCGTAACCATGGCAACGAGCTGGTTTACAACCGGGAGCAGCTGATTAACATTGGAAAGGCTGAAATAATACCTCAACTGAAGCCACAAATCCCAAATGAGCTAAAACGCAAGAAGCGTGGGTACAGAGCGGGAGCAAAACGGAGACAGAGAAAGAGGAAATTCAGACCATCTCTTCCATCGATCATAACGGGCAATGTGAGATCACTGGCCAACAAGATGGAGGAACTCCAAGCCCTTTCAAGGACTCAGCCAGAGTTTTGGCAGTTTCTGAACCACTGGAGGAAATAATGCAAAGAAGGATTCTCCAGAGAATCAAGAAAATGATGGACAACCCTGAGCGTTCTCTTCACAAGACTGTCCGACAACGGAAGAGTGTCTTCAGTCAGAGGCTTCTTCAGTTTGGCTGCAACACTGACCGCTACTGGAGATCCTTCCTGCCAACAGCCATTGTAATATACAACAACTCTTTGATGACTTGATTATTATTATTATTCTGAGCTACTATAGCAATCAGTTTCCCTCTGGGATTAATAAAGTATTTATGAATTTGAATTGAGTTGAAAAAGTAGCGGCTTATAGTCCGGAAAATACGGTATAATAATGTATGTCTGAGCAATGTGGGGAAAGAGTTTTATTTTATGTTGTGTGTGGCTCAACGGGGAGTGTTATCCTCGTTTCACACCTCATGTTTACTGTGATCTGGCATGAAAATGTATTTAACTTGACTTTTTCTGGTAGCTTTGTGAAAAATCTGGATGCTTCCCACTAGAAAAACTCGGCAAGTCAATCAGGAAAAGAGGGCACGAAAACTTCTAATGTCCCTAAAGTCAATGGTCGCCAATAAAACACAGAGAACTGCAGCATCTGTACACAAATTGCTTTTAGAGTTGTTACGTAATAAGCTCCAGCTTTATCCGCTGTCAGCCGTCAAAGGTGAGCGCTGAATGAAAAGGTTGTTCAGCGTGTTTTACTCATGAAAACGACACAATTCTAATAAAACCACGTTTGTTTATTTTCATCA